TAAGTGTAAATAACGCGTTTTTTGAGTAAATAAATCGAGTTGCGCGTCTGCATAACATCATACAAAGGTGTAACAGTTAATATGTTTACAGGTTACAAAACCAGCTCAATGCACTAATAGAATTTAAAAATCATAACTCTTGAAGTACTAAGTCTTTTCAAATAAAACAAAAGTGAATTAGAAGCCAGAATGTAAGACTATATTCAGTTTAAATTTGGTTGGGTATTTGTGGAGTTATAAGCTTGCACATCCAATTCTTTCAAACATTGAGCTGGTTTTGTAAGTCACTGTAAATGAGAGGCTGATTATGATGTGGATGTAAAATTGACCAGTGAGCAAGTACTCAACCAGGTAACGACTTTGTGACTCGGGCGTTGGGGACATAGAGTAGTGTGTACAGGGTAGAGTAGATGGCGTAGATGGGCTGTATTGGGAAAACGTACAACACATAGCTTTTTGTTCATTATTCTGTGCTGTGTTCCTAAAACACGCACATGGTTTCTCTGAGGAACGTTTCGGGGACTGGAGTTGGCTGCAGCAAATATGTTTGCCATCCGTTCCGCCTCATTTATCTGACGCTGCTCGCTTTCGCTTTCCATTTCTGACACATAACTTGCTTATAATCACCCTCAAGATGTCGAGCAAATCGCCGCCGTTGAACCTGGCTCTCGCAAGCGGAAGAGGGAAGACTGTTAGTATAACTTAAGTGCAAGGATGAAGGTCTAGGACATATCTAATCAAAAATTTTCTTATAGAGCAAGCGGAGCTCGTAACGAACCTCCTCAACATGGATGCTCCTTCAACCAGCTCCAAAGCCAAGCATATTCGGGAGATCCAAAAGGAAAAGGAAATCCTGTACATAGGCCGACCTGCTAACCGCATCGGTCCTCCTGTGGCTCTCTACCATTCTGTCTTTGGCGAATTTGTGCAGGGTTTCGAGAATGAGTCAATGCAGATATCTGATGACGTTGCGAAAGTCACCATGGACGTAATTGATGCAGCGCAAGAGTTTTATGATTCGGAAAATGACCGCGTCAGGGCCATGAACCGGCCCCTTTCTGAGATTTTTGGAGCTATGCCAAGAATTTTGAATGCTGATAACAGTGAAATCGATGCAATTGTGTCGATGCAACCCGATGGACTGAATCAGGAAGCAGCACTGGCGGTTATAGAGTATAAGAATGAGGTTGGGACAGGGTCGAGTGATCCCACGATTCAAGGGGACATCATCTTCGGGAGATACTGGTCTCAGGACGAGGTATGATTTAATTAGAATGTTCTGTGGCCATAATTGCTATGCAGTTATATATAACTCATTGTTGTTACCTGACAGCACAATGATATCCGAAGATGCTGTTGCTGTCCATCTTTTGTTATCGGCATAGCAGGACCCTGGATATGCATAATTAGGGCTGTTCTCCTCAATAAAATGGTTGTGGCAGAACCACTTACAGATTTCATTAGTATGACCCATTGAGTGCAGAACAACAAACGTGTCAGGCTAATTGCTCGATTGCTTGAGTCCTTGAAACGCGGTTTTGAGAGGCTCCGTGGCTATTACAATTCTGTGAAGAACTTCCCGCTTAATAATGAAGCGCGATTTTTCCCGTACCTTCAACATTTCAAATCCAACAACAACATTATGCAGTTTGTCTATATTGACAAATTAATCGAGGACCCCACAAAGACACTGTGGCTCGCAAATACCCAAGATGATGGGGGGAAAATTGTTATCAAATATGTTGAAAGGTACTGTGAGAATGCTCATAGGCTTTGCGCCAGTGAAAAACTGGCTCCACAGCTACTCTAGGATGCCTGGAGGATACCAATGATTGCAATGGAATACATCGAGGGTACCACACTACACAATTTTTTCAAACGCGATCCAGCCATAACCACCAGTATCTATGAAGATTTAGAGAAAGCTATAACACAGGTGCTTCATCCTCGGGAGTTAGTCTTTGCAGACCTCTGACCACCAAACATCCTGGTTGTCACCCGGGATGGCAAGCATCAAGCAATGCTCATTGATTTTGATTGGTGCGGCAAAGATGGCATAGACACTAATCCAAGCTCAATGAACATGGATCAGATTACTTGGCCTGAAAGAGTGATACCTCAAGAAGGAAGATGACAAGTTTATGCTTGATAAATTAAAGTATGCTCTTAACCTGTAATTGTATCTCTCCTTTCATAGTCAGCAGTTCTTGCATGCATAAAAGAAAGATGTAAAGCAAAAGCAGGAAGTGCAAACTAAAAAAAATTACATGATGAATATGCTAGTCCCAACAGTATTAGCTAGACATTGAAACTGTACATATCCACACTCGAACTGATAGAGTATTCTTACTAATAATAAAAAGACATTACTGTATCAGAAGAAAATTGATTTTCATCCATTTCAAAGAAGCTTGAGTTCCACCCAGCTTGCTAGATCAACTGAGATTTTCATTTTAGGACTCACTAGAAAGATGGGGATTGTAAATAGATGGATCACTATAAAATAGGAGTTTCTTAACGAGATAGACCAATCATTATGCAATGCCATTCCACCTCGCCTGCTGCACTTTGTGCACCAGGGCAGGGGGAGTTTAATAATGCATATGGTTTTTTGAATAATATTGCAATGTGGAATGGATCTGCAATATGAATTTGAGATATTAATATTAATATGTGTTCACATCTAGCATTAGTAATTCTAATAGTTTTTCAACAGAAACTACAGTCAATTGATTAAAATTTTAATCAACGCAATTGTCAAAATAATGCCCTAGATTGTACATGAATTATAAAACTAATATATAGGAATATTCGTAAATTATAATTATAATAATTCAAACGAATATGAAAAAGCCATGCGTTTCTTGGATAGGTTGCAGTTGTGGTTGCTCAAAAAAGATTCCGAGAGAAAGGTTTGCTGAATTACGTGAAGCGTTTCAAGCTCTCTCTAGGTCCGAACAAGACATATTTTTAATGGCCCAACTAAAAGCGATGAATGGTGGAGAAATAACTGCCAGCCGACGTCTTAAAAAGAAAACGCGTACTAATAAGCGAACGTTTTACTACTG